GGGGAGGCCCCACAGCCCCGTGTCTCCCGGCAGGTTCACGGGCAACGTGAAGCTGAAGGCGGTCATGGTGCTGGGCGGCGAGGGCGGCACGCACCCCGCGGAGCTGCGCCTGTGAGTGTCCCGCGGCGCAGGACGGCTGTAACTACCGGCTGACAGCCGGGTTGTTGCGTGCGGGCTGCCCCGCACGGGTGTCTTTTCCCTTGGGAAACCCTACAAGGCTCTGGGCGCGGGTGCAGGGGCGGCCGTGCTGTCCGCCTGGATCTTTAGAACCTCCTGGGTCTCCCTCCTCCATTCCCAGCTTCAAGAACATTCCTCACATGTCCTTCGACGATGCGGCCAGGGAACCGGAGCAGACGTTCGCGCTGAGCCGGGATCTCACGGGAGAGCTGGAGTATCCCACCAAGTACGATGCAGCCAGGGGTGCCATGAGGAGCCCCCTCCCCGGCAGGGCACTGGTTTCTTTTTTCGTTGTTTGACTATTTTTGTTCTTTCAGAATTGCCCGTTTTTCCAATGTTTACCATCTCTCGATGCACTTTCCCAAGAACTTTGGAGCTGAGACAACAAAGATTTTCTACATAGGCCTGAAAGGAGAGTGGACAGAGGTAGGTGAGACCGGAGCAAAGTGGAACAAACCAGAAAAAATAAACAGGAAAAAAAATTTAAATCATAGCTTAATTTGCAGCTCTATGAGGCAGAAGTGAGAACTGTCTAGAGGTGGCAGGTCTGGGAAGTCTGTTCTGGAGGGATCTGAACTCTGTTGCCTCTGGCCTAACATGCTTTATTCTTAACCCAGGCTCGCCGCCACGAAGTGACCATCTGCAGCTACGAGGCCTCGGCAAACCCCGCGGATCACAAGCTGGAGCAGATCACGCCCCAGACTCACTTCATTTCCTAACCCTGCTCTGGGGCTCCGGTGGAAGTCCGGGGCCTCGATGGATGGGCCGGGAGGGAGATGGGTTCCTGGCGCCGTGCGGTGGCTCCGCTCGCTGCTCTCTGCCTTGGGAAGCGCAGGGCCGAGCGCACGGAGCGCCGGGACGGAGCTGCTACGGCCTTGCTGGGTCTGTCGCCACGTCGCAGCCGTGGCCTTGGCGCGGGAGACGTGTTCCCGGGGCCGCGGCAGCGCGGCCGCGTTTACTCCTCTCGTTGCCAATAAAGCAAGTTCTGATGCACGATGGCGTCCGCTGGCGGGGCGGAC